AAGGGTGTACAGTGTGAGGCAGTTATTGGTCGAGAAGTGAAGAGTGAGCACGGGAAGGAGGGCTGAGGGAGCGGGGAAAAGGAGACCTCTGTTAGCGTAGGGACACGTGCACTGCTTGTCTGCCATCTGTGCATCAGTAGCACTTCGCCGGCGCCATGACCGAAGACGAGACAAAAGTAGAAGCAGAGAAAGATACAGCAGAAAAGGAGGAGACAGAAGAAGAAGAGAAAGGTAAAGCAGCGCAAGGGACCGAGAGAGAGCCTACCTTGGTATCGTGCGATAAGCGGAGGGCATTGTCGTATGTTTTTTTCTATGTTAGGTCGGCAGTGTTTACTCCTTTTTGTTTTATTTTTATTGTTTAATGTTGTTTATATAGAAATTTATTACTATTTTTATTATTTTTAATATTACTTTTCTTTTCGTCATCATTATCATCATTCGCATTATCGTTATGCTTACACATCTGCCAAATTGAAGTGGTAAGCCGCGTTTATATATTTTTGTAATCGTTACCAGTGGTTTGTCACTAGGATTACGCAGGAACTTATCAAGGGATCACGGCAAAAGTCTATGTCTTGAGCAGGTCATGGCCCAAGGACTAGTTCATTAAGTATTCGCGGTGAGCCTATCCAATTAGCCCCTAATTACGTATTATCGGTCGGCAGATAACTCAGCGTATGGCAGCCCCTTAGAAACAAATTAAACGTTTCCTCAATAAGGGATAAGGATGTTTTAGAGCTGTGATTTTAAAAGGTTAAATCTTCATTTCCAATATGGTATTTGAAGTCAGCGAACATGGAACTCTGTGGTACGATAAACAACTGAATTTTTTTTTACATCATTCTCTGGTAGTTTCCTATTTTCTCGTGAAAATCACCAATTACCATCATCATCATCATCAACATCACCATCACCATCACCATCACCATCACCATCACCATCATCATCATCATCATCATCATCATCATCATCATCACCATCACCATCACCATCATCATCATCATCATCATCATCATCACCATCACCATCACCATCATCATCATCATCATCATCACCATCACCATCACCATCACCACCACCATCACCATCACCATCATCATCATCATCCTTATTGAAGGAGAGGCATCAACGTCCGTATTTATTGTGGCAAATGGCAATTCCATATTTCATTACAGTAACTTCAGTGACATTAATTAAAATCAATACATGCCTGACGTTCCGGTATTTTGCTAGAGGCCGTGAAGTTAAAAAGGAAAAGTTATCTAGTAAACTTTGATATGCTTTAGTAGCTAAACTAGAAAGTTATCTAGTAAACTTTGATATACTTTAATAGCTAAACTATGTATCGACGTTTATATAATGTAGACAGAGAGAAATGGATTATGTAAAATTTTAAATAGATTCAAAAGATGTAAAGAAAAGTCTTGAAATTAAATACAAGTTAAAAAGGAAAAGTTATCTAGTAAACTTTGATATGCTTTAATAGCTAAACTAGAAAGTTATCTAGTAAACTTTGATATACTTTAATAGCTAAACTATGTATCGACGTTTATATAATGTAGACAGAGAGAAATGGATTATGTAAACTTTTAAATAGATTCAAAAGATGCAAAGAAAAGTCTTGAAATTAAATACTTGTGACTTGAGCTAAACTAGCTCCCGATTATCCTCAACTTTATAGAAATCACACACACACACACACACACACACACACACACACACACACACACACACACACACACACACACACACACACACACACACACACACACACACACACACACACACACACATATCTTCTCTCTCTCTCTCTCTCTCTCTCTCTCTCTCTCTCTCTCTCTCTCTCTCTCTCTCTCTCTCTCTCTCTCTCTCTCTCTCTCTCTCTCTCTCTTCTCTCTCTCTTTCTCTCTCTCTTTCTCTCTCTCTTCTCTCTCTCTCTCTCTCTCTCTCTCTCTCTCTCTCTCTCTCTCTCTCTCTCTCTCTCTCTCTCTCTCTCTCTCTTCTCTCTCTCTCTCTCTCTCTCTCTCTCTCTCTCTCTCTCTCTCTCTCTCTCTCTCTCTCTCTCTCTCTCTCTCTCTCTCTCTCTCTCTCTCTCTCTCTCTGCATAGACAAGTGAAGAGAGAAGTAAGAATATAATAGGTTTATGTCATTATATATATTTTTGTGGTTTCTTCATATTTGTAAAATGCAGTTTACTTTACTCGTTTTTAATGGGTTATTTGTAGTATTACTTAGACATGTAGTTGCCTCTGTTGTGTCAAATCTCGGCGTTAATGAAAAAGCAACAGTGAAGTAAAATGGGGACTGGAAAAAAAGTTGTGTAAAGGAAGAGTTTGATAAATGAGAATAACCCCCCCCCACCCCACCCCGTCCAACCTTTAACAATTACAAGTTGCAGTTTGTTAAAGGCGAACCTTTATAGTTGTTGGCCAGGGGTTTTGTTTCCGAGCCCTAACGAAGCCACGCCATCATTGCGACTGCTGTGTTACGCCTTGATTACGAAATAGAAATCGCTTTTATCCCATTTCGCCTGATTTTTTCCCCTCCTCCTCGTTCTTCTCCTCCTCCTCCTCCTTCTCCTTCTCCTTCTCCCTCTCCTCCTCCTCCTCTTCCCTCTTCTCTTCTTCCTTTTCCCTTACCTCCTCATTTCTCTCTTCTTTTTCCCTCTCCTCCTCCTCCTCCTCCTCCTCCTCCTCCTCCTCCTCCTCCTCCTCCTCCTCCACCTACTTCTACTCCTCCTCCTCCTCCTCCTCCTCCTCCTACTTCTACTCCTCTTTCTCCTTCTCCTTTTCCCTCTCCTCCTCCTCTTCCCTCTCCTCTTCTTCCTCTTCCCTTACCTTCTCATTTCTCTCTTCTTTTCCCTCTCCTCCTCCTCCTCCTCCTACTTCTCCTCCTACTTCTACTCCTCTTCCTCCTCCTCCTCCTACTTCTACTCCTCCCTCCTTTCTCCTCCTCCTCCTCCTCCTCCTCCTCCTCCTCATCTCCTCCTCCTCATTCCTCCTCCTCCTCCTCCCTCCTCTCTCCTCCTCCTCCTCCTCCTCCTCCTCCTCCTCATCCTATTCCTCCTTCCTCCTCCTCCGCTTCCTCCTCCTCCTCCCTCCTCCTCTCTCCTCCTCCTCCTCCTCCTCCACCTACTTCTACTCCTCCTCCTCCATCTCCTCCTCCTACTTCTACTCCTCCTCCTCCTCCTCCTCCTCCTCCTCCTCCTCCTCCTCCTCCTCCTCCTCCTCCTCCTCCTCCTTCCTCCTCTCTCTCCTCCTCCTCCTCCTCCTCCTCCTACTTCTACTCCTCCTCCTCCATCTCCTCCTCCTCCTCCTTCTACTCCTCCTCCTCCTCCTCCTCCTCCTCCTCCTCCTCCTCCTCCTCCTCCTCCTCCTCCTCCTTCCTCCTGCCGGCTGTGAGGAAGCGCCAGACGGGTCTAATGTAGAGAGACGTTTCCTTCGCCATTTCCCCTCTTCTCCCATTAGCCAGCAAGTCTCCGAGGGGAAAGGAGGAGGAAACTCATTAATTCATTTATTTGCCTTTAGTTCCGTTTGTTCTTTCCCCAGTTGTGTCTTGTTTTACATTTTCTGCTTCTGTTTTGCCCTGCCTTGTCTTTGTTCATTAGCATTTCTCACCCTCTCTCTCGTTTTCTGTTCTTTTTACTCTCTTTCTCTCTCTCTCACTCACTCTTTTTCTCCTTCTCTTTGTCTATCTATCTATCTATCCATCCCTCTATCTCTCCCTTTCCCTTCCTCTCCCTTCCCCCCTCCCCCTCCCCTCTCCCTCCCTTCCCCTCCCCTCCCCCTCCCCCTCTCCCTCCCTTCCCCTCCCCTCCCCCTCTCTCTCTCTCCTTCTTCCATCCTCTCATTTCTTCCTTCCTCTTTTCCCTCCCTCCGCCCCTGTTATCCTTCCCTCCCCCCTTCCCCCCTTGTTCACCTCCGAAACAGATTCGTATTGGAGAAAACGGGATCGAAGTGTTCTGGAACGTTCTCTTTTCGGAATAAATAACTGATGTACGAGACGTAGGGAGGGGAAGGTCGACCATGAATATGGGAGTACGTTGGTGACGTCACTGGGTGTCATGTGCAAGTGGGGGAGAATGATGTTGTTGTTGTTGTTTTTGTTTTTTTATTGTTGTTGTTTTAAGTGATGTCTGTCCCTTTTCGTTCTGCTGTTACCCGATGCTGGTATTCTGCTCCTCGATCGCCGTCTGTCTCATTTCTTGCTGTTGTTGTTTTTCGAGGATCAGTCTGGTAATCATGACTCAGGGCTCTTGATGACATTATCATTAAATCTAATGTAATTTCTTAATTTACGATTTAAAAAGACCAAGAAAAGAGTTTTGATTATGCAGCATATTTAATTGATTTGGTCACGTGTCCCTTCTTCTGTCGACCACTGCGTCCAGTGAAGAGAGGAACGCTTTTCTTAATTCGTAAACGCGGATTTCTCCTGTCACTTGTGGCCGGGTAGGGGCGGGGCGTGGCGGGGGGGGGGGGTCGTCTTGAATTTGAGTGTGAATTATTTAGCTGGAAATCGCTGAGTCGGACTTCCGGTTTTTTTTGAGGTTTGTGTTTTAATTCATTTTCTTTTTGGATGGGTATTTCATTAGTTTCGGTATATCATTGCATGCGAATACAAGGTTTCTTATTTATATACATGCCTCTGTGTGTTCATGTTCTTGTGTATGTATGCATTCATATACTGTGAAGAGACAGTGTTAGCATTGTTTAATATACATTTTACAGAACATGCAGTGAGGGTCGCTTTTATTATTTTGAATTATTTTTATTAAGGGATTTAATAAGTGATTCGTGTTCCTCTTCATTATGTTTTTTTTTTTTTTTTTTATCTCTTGAAATTAGTTCTCGAACCAGCAGCTGCCCAGTCTCTCTTGATTACTGATTTTTGTTGAAAAGATCATCCGTAGTCCATGAAAAAATAAAGCGTCAACTATAGTTGGGCGAAGTTCGACGTGGAAATGCGGGACAAAAGCATCCTGGAGCAGTGTAATGTTTCCGTCTTGGGTACGCACAGCGATTGTCTTCTGTTGGGGCGGACGACCAGTGCGCGGGAAAGTGATGGGTTGCATTTCGGATATCAGGATTTAGTTAGTTTATTTATTTATTTATTTATTTATTTATCATCATTATTTTTTTTTATCCCCCACCTCAAAATTTGACTTAGTTTTTGCGGAGATTTTGACTTCTTTGCTCTGAAAAATTTTCCGCATTGGGATTTCTCTTTTT